GGCTCTGCTGCCGGAGCTGCGGGAACGAGCGAGGTGAAGCCCAGGGAGGTGTAAAATCTGCCGTGTCGCTGTGCACCCCCCGGGTGAATAAATTCAGCGGGGTCTGGCTGCGTGGTGTTTCGCGGCACCTATTGCTACGGTCGCTGCCGCCTGTTCGTAGCACTCTGCCAAGGAAACAGCAGTGTCGCCCCTTGGGACGGGGTTCAGGCGGGTTCAGAGGAAGAGCAGCCCGCCCAAGGCTTCGCAGAAGATCAGCGCTGGGGTGCAGTTTAGGCCTTCCCTTCGTTGGAAACAGTCTCTCATGCTTTGGTCCCGGCTAATCTACTGCATGGCAGTTCAAACTGTGATGATGGGCTGCAATAACTTTTTCACACCTCGAGTTTGTTGACTCTGTACTCAGAGCAGAGGGAAAAGAAGGGTGGACCGAAGTCATATCTGGAAAGGTTAGGGTGCTTTCCAGCCCTCATTTTGAAGCAGGTGTGTGTGAGAGGGGACAACAACGTAGGTTTGATGTAACGTCGTTCTGTGCGTTCATTTTAACAGTAGTCCAAGGGGACGTGAGCGTCGGGTGTAAGATGTTAACAAACAGTCCACTTGTCCCAGAGGTGTACGCTGAATGGAGGTTTGCTGAGAGCTGAGTCCATGCTCAGTAAATTTCCTTGGGAGGAAGTGAAACTTGGGCTCTCTAGGGATCCTGTTACATAAAAAGAGGGAGGTCTGCGCTTCCCTGGCAGAGCTGTGTTCTGCGTCTTTGGCTGTCCAGCACTAATGTTAGTATTACCCATCTTCCCTGGGCTTGAAGTTAATACTGAAAGATCTCTTCTTCCCTTCCCTCGTTCCTTTGCACGGTGAAATGGAAAAGTTGTTGTTGCATTGCTTAGCTGAAATAGTGTATTTACTCATGTGAAAAACTTACCGGGTCTGAGCCGAATGCGTATTTTTGGCATTGTTCCCTCTATTTTTAGTTACTGAATCTGCCTGACTTTCTTCGCAAACACTCCAGAAGAGCATGATTTTTCAGGTTGTGAGGAAACCAATTCCTTTACCTCTTGGAGTAGTCCAACTGCATCTGTCCTGCTGCAGATCCTGGGCTCGCTGAATTCAGAAAGCTTTAATTCTGCCTATGGGCAAAACTGTTTGTTGGCTCAATGTTACTTCCTCTTTTTCCTGAATGTCTCCCATTAACTGGAGAAGATAAAGAACTAGCTTAAATGCCAACCTGATCGTAAGAAAGGATTATTCTTTAGCGCTGCGAGTGTGCACAGTGTTTTATTCTAGCTGCTGCGTATTAAACAGCAAAGGAATCCCAGCCACACATTTCCAGCAGTCCCGTGGATCTGTTCCTGCTATTTAGTTTTGACTAGTGGGACATGAGGTTACTGCTTGGGTTGGGCTTTGTATGCCCCAAATTTCCCTTTCGTGTGGTGACAAACATTACAAGCAATGAAAGTGGAAAGGGAAATGACTCTTTAAACTTTCTAATACATTGTGTATAAACCCCGGGATAGAAATGCATCCCTGACCAGGAGACCACATTTCTGCTTTCAAGTACAGATTATAATCGGAAACAACAGTATCTGGATGATGCACATTTACTTCTGAGAAGGGATGTTTCCACCAGAGGTACCTCCTACTCCAAGCCTAACATTTAGCGCAGGGCTGAACAAGGTAGGGCTCTTGGGTCACGTGCAGTAGACAGAGTTCAAGTGTGGCTTCTGTGTTGGGGCTATGCATGTGATCAGCAGAAGGGCTGTGTTAGCAAAGCAAACACTGGTTATCTGGAATCGCTCCTCAGGGAGGTTTTGAGGTAGTGGCAGGAGATGCTGAAGATTGCCCCGAGTCTTGGCTAGATGCTGAATTGTGCAATCCCACAGCACCACTGCCTTGGAGTAGCAAGGCCAAGGGAAGCCAATGTTCCCTGCTATCTGCAAATCACTTCAGAAGCTGCTGCTCCTGCTGACTGGCAGGGAGTTTGAGGGAGGTCCTGTGGCTCTCGGCTGCGTGCTGGTTTTGGGATAGGGCTTGCTGGGTTTGGGATAGCTGGCCCTGATTGCTCTTTTATCATCTTTGTGGAAGAATGAATGCTTGGCATGAAGCACAGTGCTTTCTGGGCCATTTTGTAGGGGGGTCTTTCTCATTGTGAGCCTTACTGTTTGCTAACAGCAGTCTCTTACTTTTATTGACAATATAAGGGGAAGCATTATAGTGAGGATCATATCTGGTTTTAAATGTACATTCATTTCCGACAAATCATTTCTTTTGTGCTTATTACTTAATGTGCTAAAGCAAGGTTGGTCTTATCAAGAAGGGTGGTTGGTTGTTTGTATTGCCTGCAAGAAAGCAATGGACCTGCTCAAAATGATTAGCTGAGGGGAGACGGATGTGGCCCTGCATGCAAGCATTGAAAGAGGGGCTGAAGCAGGAGAGCTCCCCTGGTGCGGCAGGCTGGCTTTGTGATTGGGGGGCTGCGAGCATTGCTGTAAGTGGAAGTTGCAATCCTGAGTCAGGAATCAGCATAAAGTATCTGTATGGAGGAAAAAAAATCCCACACTTTGACGAGAAAGATCTCTGCCCTACTGAAAGAGTACCGTAAGCACTTTAATCCTTCTGAATTTTTTTTTCTTTTCCTTTTGTAATACCTGTCTCATGATGGTTAATTCACAAGTAGAATTGAGTTTTTTGAAGTTTTTCCGCCTCCATTTATGCAAGAGAAGCCAGTGCTTTTATGTATTTCTTTATTCTTAACTTTGCTAGTAGCAGGGCCTCTCTCTTGCTGGTTTGGCAATACGTGCTACTAACTGTTTCCAGAGCTCTTAAAATACTGCCCTGACCACCACAAGATGCCTAATATTCATGAGATTTTGGAGTAGCACGTTTAAAACTTAGTGCTGATCTGGTGTTGTTGGCATGTGTGTGAAGATTTTTATGGAGAAGCTAAATACTGTCCCAAAGACAAAATCATTTGCTTTTGGCTGACGTACTGTAGATTAAACTGAGGAACCTCCTGAATTAAAAAATAAACTACTAAAAGTTGATCTGAAGATGCAAGGCCAGCTAACTGTAAGATGTAGCACTCCCAGTGGCTTGAGCACAGAGGGGAACTTGCGATGCCCACTTAGTATTGGGAATGTGTGTATCCAAGACCTATGAGCAATTGGTTTTCCTAAGAAAGCCAAAGCAAGCAAAAGAATGCTTTTATTCCTGAGATTGGATTGCAGCTTTCTGGCATCTTGAGAAATCGGTAGTCAGTTGGATTCTTTATGATGCTCTTCTAGGTAGACTTGACATATTTTCGAATGTGTTAAGTTCTCTTATCTCAGTTCTCACCTGATCACAGGTTCTTCTGACTCTAGGGCTGAGAGCTTCTTAAGGCACAGATATATCCGTTAAAGAGGCAGTCAGCACATTCAACGAACACTGTCACTGGGCAAATCACAGAATACCTGAACACTGAAGGCTGGATATTTACTATTCTGGTGCCATCACTATGCTTAACAGACTCCTAGCAAGAGATAGCGTACATCTCAGTGCTTCCAATCTGGTGAAAGGGAAAATGGAAGAATGAAAAGGGTGAGTAATTGTCTAAGAGGATGTAAGCAAGAGCTAGGAGTAAAATCCTGATCTTCTTAGTCTCAGAGTGCCCTGACTGCCTTGGTTTGGGACACTACTTTCCTGCATGTGGTTCTCTGTCATTGTGTTTATATGCTTGCCATCACAAGCACTTTTGTACCACGCTTTTTGCCTGAAGCACTGTCATTCAGAGTGAAGTTTTTTGGGCCAAGAACTCTTGTGCAGCTGCAGACAGTTCTGATGTCTCCTTTTGCACTGACCTTCTCTACAGTAGTAGCATGAAGAAGGCTTTCATTTCGCTAGCTTTGACTCCTGCATTCTTCCTGTGACCTCCTTTCTGCTACTGAAGGCTTTTTAAATGGGGGAAGAATAAAGCCTGTAGAGCGATGGTCCTTTTAAAACTAGATAGTGAAATGCTGCTTTTCAAGAATCCTCTGCTGGTTAAACTTGGCCATGAAAATGAATTCCAGTAGTAGAACACACTGCCTGAATTAAAAACAGAGAGGGCAACATGAGAAACAGGTTTGCATCACCCTAAATGGCATCTTCAGAAAGAGGGTGAAGGAAAGGTGCTTGAGGAAGGGAGTAAGGCCAGAAAAAGAACTGGGGAAAACAAAACAGTTCATCTTCATTGGAGGGTGAGAACAGCAAGGTGGATGGAGGAGCAACTGGGGGAGGAGGGGAACAGAAGCATCCCACGTTACAGAAGTTTTTCTTTAAAGTGCTTGTTGTGGGATAGGCACTACATTAATAATAGAAAACATTGGGAAGATGAGAGGACTGGGAAGAAGAAGGCAGTGATGCAGGGGGGCCTGCATAAATTTTTGACTTACCATCTGAAACGACCTTTACCATGTGGATTTGTAGAGGTCTAGTCGCTGCGTCACCATGTAGGCTCCTGACTTCAGCCCGAGTCAATGGAGGCGATGCTAACCCTGTCGTTTTTCCTCCCTCCATCCCAAACTCTGCACATAATTGCAAGAGCCTACATGTTTCTGCTGAGACAGTAAAGCAATTCAAAATATTGACACTAAAACCTTTGCCATTATGCTTCCTGGTCAATGCTTCATTTGTATGAACGGGATAGTTCACATCCCCGAGAGCTGTTGTTCAAAGGCCTCCTCTGTGCACAACATGGGGAGGCAACAGTCCAGGGTTTCTTTGCAACAGTTTCTTTGCAACAGTTTCTTTGCAACAGTTTCTTTGCAACAGTTTCTTTGCAACAGTTTCTTTGCAACAGTTTCTTTGCAACAGTTTCTTTGCAACAGTTTCTTTGCAACAGTTTCTTTGCAAGAGGCAACAGTCCAGGGTTTCTTTGCAACAGTTTCTTTGCAACAGTTTCTTTGCAACAGTTTCTTTGCAACAGTTTCTTTGCAACAGTTTCTTTGCAACAGTTTCTTTGCAACAGTTTCTTTGCAACAGTTTCTTTGCAGTCAGAAGGTAAAAACATTATACATACAATTTAAGTTTTAAGTTGAAATCTGCAGAAACTGGCAGCCTCCAGAGGGAGATCGGTAATGCATACTGCAGAACACTATTTCAGTGCAATCCTTTGGTCACAAACAGCCGTTAATAAGGGGCCCGCCAGAAGGGTATCTTAAGTGAAGTCATCTAGTTTGAACATGCGCTTAACAAATGGATTAGTTTTTGTCCCATTTCTTCTCTCTTCCTTGTGCTTTTGGATGAGATAGTTTAACTTTGATTGATTTGCCCAGCAAATCTTTAGGTTCTGTTAATAAACAAACCACAGCATGTCCCACACAATACTTATTTGTAATTTCCATTTCTGTGGTGTCCCTGGCAAATACGCTTTAGGCGTTTGTGCACTTAATAAGAATATATTGGAAAATAAATTTAAGCTGATGCTGGTGCAGTGGTTAGTGTGAAGAATGAATGTCTTCCCTTTA